AACTGAAATGAGTAGAATGAATGATGCAACAAACATTGAGCTGAAATAGAGAATAATGTTGAAGGGTGGTGGGGATGAATGATAATGGTAAGGAATCTCCTTCAGGTAGCAGAAATGCTGAGAATGGGGTGTGAAACCCTATAATTAAGAGTTGAAAAAAAGGCCAGTCATATTGGGTCTTATGTAGAAGTTTTAGAACTTATTCTATGTGTAACCAGAAATCACTGAAATGTTTTATATTTGGAGTGGTGTTATTTATGTTTTAAGATCACTTTAAGATTTTCTCTATATAAAAACTTGTTTAAACAAAATGCCTTTTTTGATAAATTTGATTTTTTTCATTTTGGAAATAATGACACTGCTAAGAGTCAGTTTGATAAATATATATTGGACTTCTGTCATGTAACATGTCATGTGTCATTTACACATGGGTGGTGTAAAGATGAGTGAAAAATGGTCCATATGTTTGTCTATTAGCTTATTCTAACTGTTGAACACTCACATGTGTTGCTTTTTTGCTGTCTATAAAGTCATTTAAATTTCAAAACCAAATAGTATACTAGGAATTATACTACTTCTTCACAGGTCCAGTACCGTAACCCCTGTGCCATTCAAAGAGGAATGTTGCTAGCATCAAAATCAAGTGTATTTTCTTTTCTAATACTCTGTCATATTCTAGTTTACTTTGTATTTTAACCATGACAGACTCATACAATTTTTTTTCTCCCAGAATTTCAGCTCTTTTCCCTCTTGGTGAAAAAATAATCTGTATTCACAATATTCTAGAGTTTTCCATTATTTTAAAATCTGGTAATACACAGCATGGAAACTCTTTTTATTTTTTTCTGGAGACAGACTGTCCCTGAGCCCACCAGTCCCATTCTCCAACCTGAACTAGTTGTGCTCTAGATTGGCTGCCCAGCTTACATGCAAACACTTCCCTTTCCCTGGTTCCTGAGTTCAATTCTCTTGGATCTTAGATCTTCCACTTTCATGGTTTTCTCCCACAACTTACTAGAATAACATCCTAAAAAATTTCTCAAGAAGAAGTGCATAAACAGTAAGCCTTCTCAATCTTTATATGTCTGAAAATATTTCTATTTAGCTCTCACACTGAGTTGACAATTTTGGCTGAGTATAGAATCATAAACTCAAAATCTTTTCCCCTCAGAACTTTAGAAGCATCCCTCCACCACCCCCACTGACTCAAAGCAGAGTTCCTCATTCTCCTTGTTTGGCCTCTATTTTCTCCTTCTATTCTTTCTCCTCATTATCTATCTGGTAAATTTTGGAATTTTGTATTTATTCTTTCTGTGTGGAAAGTTCATGATGATGTAATTTTCATGTATCCTGGCCAGGCTAGGGTTAGAATTTCCAATCAGAAGACATTTTGTTTGTTCAGCTCTGGGAAATTTCATTATATTATTTTTGGATCATTTTCTCCCTTTCACGTTTTTTATTCTCTTCTGGGACGCCTATCTAGTAAGATGTTCAGACACTGGACCTTTTGGAGTAATCCTCTATTTCTCTTATCTTTTTTTTTTTAAATTTCCTCTTTGTTTTCTTCATATATATTGGAAGACTTTACCAATTTTGTCTTCTAGCTCTTCATTAAACCATATTTTGGCAATCTTTCTGTTTTTTAAATTTCCAGAAGCTCCTTCTGTTTTCTCTAATCATTCTTTTTTATTATTTTTCTCCTAATTATATAAATATAACTTCTGAATTTCTCTAAAAATAAAAATTATAAATTTTAATATTCTCTTCTGTTCCCCAAATTATCTCTGCTTGCTCTGGGTCTTGTTTTGTTAATTATGATCTTTCTCTTACATGCTGCTGGTTTTACTCACATGCCTAATGATCTCTACATGTCTCTTTATTTTAAATAATGAGTGAATAGACTGATGATTCAAAGTAGCTGAATGGCTTCCTTTGCTGCTAAATTTATACATCTATTTTTAAAGGGAAGGAAGAAAGAGCTCTCAGTCACTAGGCAGAGCCTGTCAAAGGGGACATTTCAAATTGGAGAGTCCAGATGAGAAGTCTGCCTGGAGGGTTGGGTTCCCAGATATCAACATAAACAGGGTTTTAATCTAGACACCAAAATCTACGTCAGGCAAACTCAGTGGTTCCTCAGAAAATCTGTTCAATTGCTCTAGAGAAAGCCCTTTGCTGTGTTTTTAGCATGTGGGTAAATCCCAACTTACTGTCATTAGCACATAGGCACGGGCAGGTGGAAGGGCCAGGACCAGAAGAACAGCTCCAAGAAAATATCCTCAGTGGCTCTGATTTCAACTCCACTCCTCAACCCCAAGTTTTTCACTAGAAGATTAGCTTCTTCCTCCCTTGTAGCCCTGACATAGAGTGCTCTGGACCATAGTTTTTTTTTGTTCTGTTTAGTCATCCCTTCATGTCCATCGGCCTTCTGCTGCCCAGAAATGTGTTCCACTGTTGCCTTGCTAAAGAGCGTATGTGATGGGAAATAATGTTGCAGCCATCTTTGGAAAATACAATCTGCCACACTAATAAATACCACAGATATAGCTACTAGTCAATTTCAGGAGAGCATGAAATGGGGCAGGTGTTGGGTAAGGTGGGGGGTACAGACAGAAACAACTCATTTTACCTCTATATTCCCAACTCAGGAATTGAGTTAAAACATACTTATTCAGAAGACATTCAGAACATAAGGTTTCCTAATGTTTAATTTTTGTCTATGTATTTTCTACCCTTTATTATCTGCTCTTTATATTCATTAAGACCTTTAAGATCTTGGGAAAAAAATGCTAGCTCCTCTATTCAATTCAACTTAAAGAATATTTACTGATATTGACTCTGTTCCAAATGTGCTCATAAATTTTATATTATCTCCTCTTCCACTCAAAAATGAGTATTCCCTGATTTAAACACACAACCCATTTTGTAGCTTTTTATCTGCTTATAATATTTATGTTGTATGACTTGATGATAAGGTCTATGAAGTAAGGTCTCCCATTTTTATATGCCACCTAATGCCAAACACTTAATAAGTATTTGTTGGATTAATAAGTTTGTCTCAGAAGCTCAGAACCTAAATATTACAACTTTTAGTGAGAGAAACATTCCTCAGGCATATTTACCTTTGTTTTACCAAAATTCTCAAAAATGTGGTTATATGATTTCTCAACCTATAGAATATAAGTGCAGTGAAATGAAAGAACTCTCCTGAACTATGAAGGGAAAAATGACTTAAGGAGCCAATCAATAAAATCATAAAACCAAAAAATTATCAAGAACAATAGCCTGGGGCGCCTGGGTGGCTCAGATGGTTAAGCGTCTGCCTTCGGCTCAGGTCATGATCTCAGGGTCCTGGGATCGAGTCCCGCATCGGGTTCCCTGCTCAGTGCAGAGCCTGGTCTCCCTCTCCCTCTGCCACTCCCTCTGCTTGTGCTCTTCTGTCTATCTCTCTGTCAAATAGATAAATAAAATCTTTAAAAAAAACAAAAAAACAAAAACAAAAACAATAGCCTGAACTTGTAAATGCACAACAGTATGCATATATTTAGAATATTCAGCATATGACAAACAAGCAATATGAGATTTGAAATACATAACCATGGCATTATGGCATTAGGACTAAGTATGGGAATTAGGTGGTCCAAATGCTTAGGTTCAAACCCCAGCTCCTCCATTTAATGACCACATGGCTTTGCAGATGCTGTTTTTTCCTATTTGAGCTTTTGTTTCCCCATATTTAAGAATAGAATAATAATGACTATGAGTCTTATAACATGGTAAAACTCAATAAATGTTATTATCATATGCTTTAGTCTTCTACACAAAAATTACTTTAGATACTTTCAATTTAAGAAAAGCGTGAATAGCCATCTAGAAAGATTTCCATCTAAAATGAATCAAAAAGGAAAAAAAATCAGGAAGTGTGAGAAGAAATTGATGTTCATATAACCCCTACCATTTTTAAGCAGCTGTTGTATTCCAGGCACTACTATAAGAATTATGTATAAATTTCCTCATTAAAAACAGCACTATCATAGGTATTTTTACCTTCCTTCTATATAAGAGAAAACTATGATTCAGAGATAATCCTCATCTATTTGTTAATCATTCAAATAACATTTTTGAGATTATACTGTCTGCCAAATGCTAGCATAAGAAGCAGAGCCTACAGACATATATCATCTTCTAGCCACCATCATTTATTTCACAAACATATTTAACTGAAATTATTTTCTACACTAGATAAGTGATTTATTATTTTATATAAACATCTAATATAAATTTTCAATGTGACAAACTAATGTACTTAATATTTACTAAAACATGGCAAATCAATATTCAATAACATCTACAGATAAAAAAACATGAAAAGGGAAAAAATAAAAAAGTATAAAATAAATCTAAACCTTTCAAATACAAGTGTTTTATTTTATCTTATTTATTTTTGAGAGAGTGAGATCTCAAGCAGAGAGTAGGGGCAGAGGGAGAGGGAGAGAGAGAATCTTAAACAGACTCCATATTCAGTGCAGAGCCCAATTCAGGGCTTGCTCTCACAACCCTGAGATCAAGACCTGACCTGAAACCAAGAGTCAGATGCTTACCCAACTAAGCCACTCAGGCACCCCTTGAATACAAGTATTTTAATATGCAGGTCAAAGCACATACAACACTGCCCAAAGGTATCCAAATTATTCTGTTAAACCATGATTTTATGGCATTAAATATTTCCTAAAATAGAAAACTTGAAATCTGTCATTATCTAAAAATTTTCTTCATAATATTTCCCTAAAAGGATTTAACAATGTAAATATAGCACAGTTTTTTCAGGAAAAGAATGGTCCACTCCTTTTCCTGTTCTTCCTAGATGTTCTGGGTATTTGGTTATTTGTTACCCTCTTTATCATTTTTTAAATTTGGCAACTCTGGAATCATTTAGGCAAAGGGCTAGATCTCAATGTCGTTTTAATGGGACATTTAATAAATACCATGATATATTGGCTTACTTGCATGAACTCTCAAAACTGTGGTTACTTGTCAGCTCTTGAAGGTTGCTTTCATTGGGCTGAATGTTTGAGATGTGATTCAAGTGGCTTCTTCCTCTAATTCCCACTGTGGGAGGAGTTTCCTGGCTTCAGTGCTTTCTTGGCAGAAAATGATGTATTCGAAAAAGAGATATTTAGTCCAGACATTTTAAATTTTTTTCCATATTCATTACTTTATCATCCAATATCTAAACCATTACTGACAATGTGGCAAAAACCACACTACCTTAGAAGACAAAATCTAAGGATCTGATGCTAGCCTTGACATTTCTTAGCTTTGTAGCCTTGGTTAAGGCATTTAACCACTGGGTCTCTCAGTCTCTTCACCTGTCATTTGGGTTATAACATACCCACCTTGCAAAGACTGAGCAAATTAAATTAAATCATGTTTATGCAAGCAATCTGCAATATTTAAGTTACATGATTATGCTGGTATAAATCAAGGACTAACCCTACAAAATGGTATCCCATTATACCCAACCCTGTCTTATCTGAACAGGTCCCTCATTCTCTCACATACCCTCTTCATAGTACTTCAACAAGCTTTAGAGTCATGATTCTCTCTACCAGAGATTACAGTCCAAACCTACAGTCTGTGTGCTCTCTCAGCACTCATCAGTTACTTTTTTTGTTGTTAAAAATAGTATTTGTTTATTGCTCTACAGTTTATAAAGCTCTATACTGTTAAACTTGATTCATTCAACAATCCAGTAAGCTATCTATGGAAAAGGTTATCTTGTTATTATGGCTGTTGCACTGTAGCTTAAGTACTACCTCCTTTTAAAAACACTTGAAGTAACAGAAATTCTAAGCCACATTTTGTAGATAGGAAAACTAAGACTCGGAGAGGCTAATTGAAAAAAAAGATATTACCTTTCTCTCTCTTGGCCATTTTGGCGGCTGGTTTTGGTTGGGGCCATCCTGCATCTAAGGCAGGAAGATGGTGGCCGCAAAGAAGACAAAAAAGTCGCTGGAGTCCATCAACTCCAGGCTCCAGCTTGTTATGAAAAGTGGAAAGTACGTGCTGGGGTACAAGCAGACTCTGAAAATGATCAGATATGGCAAAGCGAAACTGGTCATCCTCGCCAACAACTGCCCAGGCTTGAGGAAATCTGAGATAGAATACTATGCCATGTTGGCCAAAACTGGTGTCCATCACTACAGTGGCAATAATACTGAATTGGGCACAGCATGTGGGAAATACTACAGAGTACGCACACTGGCTATCGTTGATCCAGGTGATTCTGATATCATTCGAAGCATGCCAGAACAGACTGGTGAAAAGTAAATCACGTAAAATTTTTCTTTAATAAAACTGGCCACAGCTTGTTTAAAAAAAAAAGAAAAAGAAAAAAAGATATTAGTTGCAAATCCATGGGTAAATCCAGGTCTCTGTGCTATATATTCTAAGTTTTTCCTGCTAGGTAATCACCTCTCTTCTTTGTAATGGTTCTTATTGAACCATTATCCTCAACTGTATTTACTTGTCTACATTTAGCCAGCTGTTCAGTTGCTAAACTACATGTTTTAAAAATTATAATATCTCACTTATTCATTTATTTTTCCAGTCCCAGAGAAACACAATATGATATGAGATGAGATGATAAAGCAAATAGCCAATGTTTTATATTAATTAAGGTGATAAAAGCAACCAATTTGAGCATTCCCCATAAAATTATAGATAATAAGATACTGAATTAAAAATTAAGTTGCTTTCTAATAAATCTTGAGACAATCTTCTGTGTCTCACCCATTATTTTGTTGGAATTACTTTAGTTCATAGAATATCAATTATGATGCTGTTCAACTCTAAGCATAGGACATAATCCAAAACTAAGTGTATTTTTTCTTTTTTTAATGTAATTTTTTCTATATTACTGTGTCTGTAATAAAATAAAATAATAAAATTCTCTGTATTTTACTATTATTTCTATTCATGTGTAATCTTATCTCAAGGTTTCAAATGTTCATAATATTTCAAAAACACAATCTTCTTTGAGAAGAAATAAGTCAGATTTCTGTAAAAAATAGTTATCAAGCTATGTAACAACTATTAAATGCCAGAAATGTAGCATGCATATTTCAAGACAGTACAAAAACCAGTTAAACATGAGGAAAAATTTTTTTATCCTCACTTGTACCTTGGTGAATAAAATTCAGGTTTAAGCATTGCATCAGCTAAGTAGTAAATAAAGTTGCATCCAAAAAAGTGTAATTTTAATATTTAGCAAAATGAAAGAAAGACTGAAGACCTTAGAAATTCCTTTAATTATAAAGCCTTAACATGAAAAAAAATCCTAACACTCAAGTAAATGATAAAATGTATTTAACATTATTATTAATAATAGATGAAGATGCAATAATTTACATATGTGTGAAACATTTTTCGTAACTTTTCTCATATCAGTTCATTGTTTACTGCCTATAATTTCTGCTACTCAAATCTTGTTGCCATTGATAATTCTTAGTAAGTATCAAAAATTTTAACTATAATACTCATAGCTACAAAGAAATCCAGAGCAAAAAAAAAAATATATATATATATTTCCTTGAAAAAAACACCCAAAAGGAAATAACAGAAGATGACATTTGGACAAAATGAGAAGACCCCTCTTCCTTTATCGTTTCATATAGAGAATGAAATTAGTTTGTTTCATTACTTTCTGTTTTCATCTCATTTTTTGACATACTTTTGGCATATTATATTCTTTCTCTCCTCACAATTTCCACAAAGAAAGGAAAAAAATTGAAGGGCCCAGCTTTCAGGATGTGGTAAATCACCACCATGAAGAATTTAAGTGATTATCACCTATTGTCCTTGCTTTTGATATTTTTTCCTTTCTCTATCTGCATGTCCTTCAACACCTAGTACATTTCCCCACACCTGCTAAGATCTCTTAGTTGGACAAAAAGTAGGTGAGTCAAACAAAACCAAAACTGCAAACTCATCAGCCATTTGTTAATACATTATGTACTAAATCCGCTGATAATTAAAATGTGGGTAGAGATTTTTTTCCCACATTTTTACAAGAACAAATATATTACTGCCAAATAGACATTTTGCTAATAAGGAAACTGGCTCAGAAAAGAAGGAAATTATAAAGAAATTATATCATTGGGTAGAAAATTATATGGAAAGTCAAATCTCACCAAGTGTGGTATTTTGTGGTTCTGCTATAATGGAACAAGACAAAATGACCTTCAATTGAGTTTCCACTAAACATTTTATTTCTTATTACTAAGACATTGGATCTGCATATAGGAAAATTCAGAACTAGAAAACAAAGAACTAGATCAGTATCCAAATGTAAATACTGATTTGGATTATCCTCATTAATCCAAATGTGGATAATAAAGGGAAAGCCTGAAAAACTATTTAATTGTATGACATTAAACACTGGGAGGCTCAAAAATAGACCATAAAAAAGAATATACTAATTCTTCACAATTTAAAATTTTATATCATTCATTCTATTTTAAATATTGAATCATGTCTCCTTGTTACTTAGGATTTATACCAAAATTGTTCTTTTTTCCTCCATAGAGAAAAGAAAGTGTCTTTTATTTAATAAGACCTTGAATCAGGAAAGAGCCAATTCCTCCTGGCATTTCTTATTACTTGGACAAGAATATTGCTGTAAAGAGTCAAATAATAATTTCACTTTATTGATATCACCTGGTTCCCTATTGAAAATGGAATCTTCAAAGTGAAGTCTAAACCTGAAGAGACCCATTTTGGTGGAGAAGAATTTGACAAATCAAAGTTCAACCATTTGATTGCCAAGTTCAAGCTCAGTCAGGTTTCAAGTTCAACACCCAAAGGACATCAGGAACAACAAAAGTAACTTTACCTCCACAAAGTTTATACATTTTGCATGCAGATTAGTCTTTCCCAACATTTATTCCAATATAAATTGACTTGTTTCATGAAGGAATTGTCTTGTATACCCCCATCCATCCTCGAACCAATGGAAAAGGTCATTGGACATTCCAAATGAGAGGAGACAAAGCTCTGACATCAACTTTTTGGTGGTACTGACTTTATCCTCTGAATTCAGAAATACCTACAGGATTTTTCCTAATGGCAATAAATCAAACTAGATCATAAATTCCTTTCAATCTCTTTATTATAGCATACAGATTTCTGTCTGGTTTGTATGACTATAAATCGGAAAATATAAAGGATTTGTTCCTCTTGGATGTCACATTTACTTAATGCTCTCTGATAATGGAGTTGATGGCAAATTAATAACTGCCACGATTAGGCATAAAATACCAATCCCCTACCACCCCCAATACACACAAATATATATTAGTTACTAAGTTAACCAGCCTAATGTCTTTGTTCAAATTTATGAATGTAAGAAGGCAATAACAATGGATAAGAACTTGTTGACAAACTTGAGTTCATGGACATGCAAATTAATTTGATATTAATCCTAATAGCATTCTTAAAATGTGAAAAATATATTTCACATGTACTGCTGTGAAAAGTACAGACAAAATGACAATATTAAAATAATCTTTAACAAAAGAAGATATTAACACATGGTTCAAGAAGCTAAGAAATACAAAGCAGGGAGTTCAAGGTGTCTTCAAGAACATACACAGATCCTTCTACAATAAGACCATGTTAGACATGAGAAACTGCTGTTATGATCAGTAACAAAGACAAAAAGAACATTCTAATCCAATTGGCTGGTGAAGAATCAGACTGCTGAGTAAGAAGATGAGAGCACCAATAGAAAGAGATGAAGGATATATGTAATGCTACCATTATTATGCTGTAAGAAGGCAGGGGTGAGCTAAGTAATGACCTGTAGCCTCTTATGGGTGAAGTACCCCCACCTGGAGGTGTTTCTTCTAGACCCAAGATCGATGGCTAAGCAGATCATAAATACATATTCTATTAAGCTTGTCACAGAATATGAAGGACCTACATTTGTAGCAAAGTTGGTATAGTGATAGTTTAAGAATCTTGTTTGAGATCCATTTCTAAGTATTCTGAGGTCTTGAACATAAGTTTTTTTTTTTTAATTTTTTTATTCTTATATTATCCCCATACATTACATCATTAGTTTTAGATGTAGTGTTCCATGATTCATTGTTTGTGCATAACACCCAGTGCTCCATGCAGAATGTGCCCTC